AAGGTGAAGATTAATTACTATGGTTTTTAGTTCTAAATAAAATATTGTAAATTAAACTATTTTCACACAAGACATACATTTATTATAATTGGAAAATCAATATAGCTTTGTGATTCCTAGATTGAGAGTTGGAGCTGTGTTGGACCCATAGTCACACTCTTAACTCTGCTTACAAGGCAAAAGTAATATCTGAACTGAAGGTTCAGAAATAAATTTAAAGCTACAGTTGAACACAACTAAAATATCTTAATCACATAAGAGTATGGTATTGATCATTAAAAACTCAAAGTAACATTTTCAGTATATGCCCCTTAAAACTAATTGCAATCAATATTTGCATAGGTCTTGAGATAAAAATAGCACATTTGAGTCAAAATAACAATTAAAAAAATTAACTATAATTATTAAAACCCCCAAGAGTTAATCAACCCAGCAAATTTACCATTGCCCCGTTAGCCAGCCGAACTGATTACCACCACCTACGACATGGACGAGGGGTTGGATTTTAGGAGGCACAAGGGTTATCTGTCAGGGTTTTCCTTCCCTTGTCTGCATGATGGAAACTTACGAGCTCACCCTAACAGCAGTTGCGACACTCCCAACGTGACTGTTGCAGATTCTCCAGGGCAGATGGCTGGATCCCTTCACATCTGACATGGAACCATTGCAGGCAGTCGTCACATTCGATCCAGTTTTGGTGTTTGTCGTAGATCTGCCTACAATGACAATATATAGGAAATTTAGAAAATTTTGCTCTTGTATGGTGGCGGTTCTCTGATCTATATGGGAACATTTCCAGCTTTCCCCTTTCAAAACACCTGCTGAGATGTTCCCTCATCGCCCTTTGCTCCCCAATGAAGTCCTCAGGTCTTGTTCCAAAGCACAGAGCAGTTGCATTAGCAATGGCAAAAAGACCACAGTCATTTCCGCCAGTTTGCTCTTGAACGTCTATATGCTCCAAAACAATTTCCTTGGATGGAGCAAAAAGCAATGAGGCAACAATCTCAGCAATCTTACCATTAAGTCTGGGGCTTGGTCTGGAATCATACACTTGTACACAATTGCTACTTTTGCTATTGATGTTGGAGAGAGTAAGCCAATGGGAGTTAAGATTAACTATTTGCACAAATGATGAAGTGGGTGTGGATAAGAAATCTTTAACAAACTCTAGGGCACAAGTACCATGAAAGCCCTCTACCTTTGGAAACATATCTGACAAAATTCCATGTGCTAAGTCTATTTCATCACTAGTCAACCAGGCATGTCTTTGACTTAATATTGTTTTAGAAGAAATGTCATACTTACTGCATGAAAGATTTTTTCTCCGCTTAAGTGACAAGGAAGGGACCTTACCTTTTCTTTTCATACCTACCCGTCCCTCACCATTGAGGGCCTTACAATCATCCTCCTCAGTCCTATCTACAAATGCAAATCAAAACATTGAAATGAGCAACCCCATAAAAATACTGAATAATACAAATAACTCTATTCATTTACATTAGCAAAACCAAGAGTATTTAACTTGTATTGCCAATTACATGAAAGTGTTTATCTCATACTTAACCTATTCAGGAATTGTATATTATTTTTTAAAGCTTTGCCACAGATTACTTCTTTATTTTGGTTTATTTGTTTGGCTTTTATTTCCTTAACTCATTATCAGGTGAGGTAAATGCCATACTGGCTCTTAAATAGTTTTACCAAAGATTTCAGTGAAGCCAGCGCTCAACAAGACCAGCAAAACTGCAATTTTAAGGAGAAAATTGGTTTCAACGGGGACCACTGCTCATAAATCAGGTGCCTTTTTACAAACCTTCTGTGTCCTTTGCCCCAGCTCCTGGGTCCTCGGTTCTCACTGGTTCCTGGTCAGCACTAGCCTCAGCTGAAAAAAAAAAGTAAGAATATCACAGAAAAACTTTTTCCCCTAGGACCTTATTGTTGTTCTAAAGAGAAAAAAATGCTCAATACAGCATAGAACAATGCAATAGATCTAACAAATAGTTAAAGCTATATTGTTTAGTGGTTGCCTGGTGCTTTATAAAGGATACTGACTTATGTCAGCATAGGTATGAAGGTAATTGTTTTGACACAACCCTTTTCACAGTCATTGTCAAAAAGGAGTGGTCATAAATCTGTCATATAGACATTCAAATAGTATCTTTCACAGACATCAATAGTTTCAAAATATTACCAGACCTCAAATCAGTTCATTCAGGGTCTATCTATTATCTACAAGATCATCAAATTCTTTAATACAAACCTGATGGGTCTTCTGCCCTTACTCCGGAGTCCTCTTGGTCAGCTGTGGCCTGGGCTGAAAAAAAAAAAAAAAAAAAAAAAACAGATTAGTGTATATGACAACAATCTATTTCACTTTACTGGAGCTTTGAAATACACGTTTTGGCAGTCAGATCCTTATAATCAAAATATGTAAACAGTTAATTTGTTGTACATGACTTCATAAATACTAAAGGCAATATGCACCCAAAGTCTTCATGGCACTTTAGGTGCATATTGCCTATTCACTACACAAGATAAAGACAAAATCCAAATACAAAACCTCAAATCAAAACCAATTTACTTTTGAAAAAATGTGCTGATCCTAAAAGAAATGAATGGTTTTAATCATAAAATTTGAGAGATTTTAAAAATCACTAATGTTCATTATCAAGATGCTTTAATACAAACCTGATGGGTTCTCCGTCCTCACTGGGTCCTCTTGGCCAGCTTGGGCCTGGACTGAATAGAAACAGACAAATAAGCATACCCAAAAACCTTTTTCTCTTAGGGACCAATGCTTACTGAAAACGTTCCTCACAGTAAAGAAATATACATTTACTAAGAAACAACTAACAATGTGTTGCCATATAATTTGGTGCCATGTTTTCTATTCACAAATTTACAAATTCTATCTACAGAATAGCAATTATACAAGCAGAAATGTAGCCCGTTACTTAAACTACATCAGCAAAGTTAGCCTAGCATATGATGCTATGATCATGCATTAATGGAATGAGTAACTAACCTTCTCGGTAAGGTTTCAAATGAATATAAGCCACTTTGGTTTTCAGCTCTTTCCCTTCCAGAGTCTCCAAAGTCACATTCTGTTTCTGGTCTATGCTTTTACTCTAAAAGTAATATTATGAGAAATGTATCCAAACAAGCGGCCGTGGTACTATAGAGCTTTAATATTGCATATTTTGACATGCTGAATTTCTAGCTACATTACATTTGCCCCAACCCCCAATATAGGACCTATAAAATTTGCATCTTAAAGCCAAAATTAAGAGATAACAATAATATATATATATATATAGTACTAACTTTAAAATCATTTACAGTACTGAAAATTGTTGTTCACCCTAGGAAAATCTGCTTTTTTCATCAAAAGAAACAGTTGCTCTTAATTAAAATTGTGTAAAATGTGACAAACATGTATGCATAGAATAAGTGAACAAGTGAATTATGATTTACCTGTATGGTCCAATCCAATCAGTCTCAAGCTTTGCACCTTTCCGCCCAACCTTATGAAAGTTTTTCTTCAGAACTTTCATTCCTTTTTCGAAGTGAAAGACTACCACATTTTTCCCTTTTTTGCCTCATACTGTCTCTTGTATTTAGCTTGTGCCTTTTCTACTTTCTCCATGTACTGAAAATAATGATTTATAGAAATTGTATTCAATAAGGTAATACTATGTTTCGGTATTAATAGAAGCAGAATTTAAAATTTTGCTGCATAAACATAAACCATGTACAAAGCCAGCAGGATAAATGAAACTAGATGCAGAATACTGCAGCTGCTGCCATCACTATTCTTTTTACAAATATTCTCAATGTTGCAATATTTTTATGAACAGATTACGTGTGACATCTTTTCTTTTCATAAACTTGTTTGAAACCAAATATTGCTCAATATAAGGGACTACTCTTTAATCTTTCATGAACCAAAAAGTCCCACATGCATACCTTAGCGTGTAACTCAGTAAGTTCCTGGTGTTGGGATTCCATGTGCACATTATAGTCTTCTTTGCTTGGCATTGTCATTTCCTTCTCAGTATCCACCAACTGCAAATCAGAAATTAATGGATATCAATCATGTTTATCAATTAATTTAAATCTTAAGGTGACAATACACTGATTATTGTTTTGGTGAAATACAAGAATATCACTTGTACATACATACTACAGGGCTGATATCAAAACAAAAAGATTGCAGGGACTGATACAATCATAGATGGAGTGACTGCCCATGCCGAAGATAGGCAGGAAATCAGCCAACTACTCACAGATTACCATCGACCCATGTCTCTGTCTATATATAAGCAACCACAAACCATTCATATAAATAAAAATAATTGGACGGTGACAGCAAGTCGGCAGTAAATGTGGGGAAGTGTTCTATTCAAAAGTAGGGGTTTGGAAGGGGAACAATTTCCATTTGTATGTATGACAAATAATGCACAGTAACCTCCTCGACCAATATACACGATGGCATGCCTTGCTGTCGCTCGGCATACTTTAATGTATATCGTGCTCATTGACAGTGCATTATAGAGAATAATGAGCATACTGTAGTTTTCATTCAAAGGCAATTGCTTACCAAGAGTACTTAGTCAGATGTTAGATGTAGCCAAAGGCTATGTTGCATCAGTACTTACCTGGAGAACATGTCATTCTCTATATGCACACTGTGTAGGCCTATATAGTGAATCCTTCAGACACTGGACTTCACCCTGATAGGAGGTGTGCAGGACTTTTTATACCTGAGGTGACTTTCATTTATTTACATATATCAGTATTTCATGATCTAGTTCTTTATTGTGTATTTCATATTTTTCCATTAATTATATTACTGAGTTTACTAATAGTTTGTTTGTATGTATTTCAGCCTTCATTGTTTCCAGTTAATAAAGATTGGAAATTAAATAGTGTCCATCTTATCTATGAAGGCTCAGGTATGACCATAGTCTACCGGTAAACAGTCCATCCTACAGGCCAGCATGCCAGTTGTAAAGTGCCCATTCCCAGACTGCACTTATGAGACAGAAGATGTGGCAGATACCATTGTCAACACACTATTGACAATACATGCACAAAGCCATAATGCCACTTCCTCTCAGTCATCTACAAAGGTCAAAACTGACAAGATTCGTTGCCCCACAATATCTACAGCTGGTACTAGTGAAGATTGGACTTACTTTCTGACAAGATGGAAAGAATATACCATAGCAACCAAAATTACTGGCCAAGATCGTGTAATACAATTACTGGTATGCTGTGATGAAACTCTTAGGAAAAATATCACCCGCTCAGCTGGTGGAACTCTTACAAACAAAAGTGAAGAAAAGGTACTATCTGCTATCAAGAGACTGGCAGTACGTGAAGAAAATCCCATGGTTGCCCGAGTCATTCTACATGAGATGCGGCAGGACAGAGAAGAACCAATTCGTCAGTTTGGGGCAAGAATCAAAGGTCAAGCTAGCATTTGTAAATTTACACTTAAATGCCCTAACTGTGAAACAGATGTAGATTACACAGACTGCATATTAAGGGACATTTTAAGTCGTGGCATAGCCGATAATGAAATCCAGCTAGACCTGCTTGGAAATATGAACCAGAACATGGACCTTGAAGATGTGTTCAGATTTATTGAATCTAAAGAATCTGGGAAACGTTCATCAGCGACATTAAATGCTTCCGAAGGTGCCCATGCCACTAGCTCGTACAGACGCGCTCAAAGGTATGCAAAGTCTGATAAAGCTGAGATATGCAGTTACTGTGGGGAAAAAGGCCATGGTATTAAAGCACCATTTCGCACACGTCAGAAAATGTGCCCAGCATACAACCATATCTGCAAACACTGTGAACGCAGTCACCACTTCGACCACATGTGTCGCAACAAGAACAAACCCAAGCTTGGTCCCCCATCTTC